CCTTGATTTTGCAGCTGTGGATACTGGGTCTGTATCCAGGGCTGAAGATGCTGCACAGCCTACCTTACCTGCACTCAGCCATGAGAAACTGCTTTTGGGACCGTGGGCACCTTAAAGGAGGCACAGCCTACAATGCTAAATTCTCACTGTTGTAATACCCAGAAAAACAGAATAGTTAAACAGCAGCCAGGAAGTGAAGACAGGCATATAAACCCTCGATGCTTCCCTTCCCTAAAGGATGCATTCCATTTTCCTCTTTTGGAAAAAGCTTCAGTTTTGACAAGTAACACGAAAATCAATTAACCTTCAGCTCCTTTAACACAAGCACATCCCAGCCTACATCTAACAACTGAAATTGGGAACCAACTTCACCAGCAAGCCCCAGTCACTGCTGCAACTAAAACTTCTCCAAACTATGACTTTAAAAGTATCACTGGCAACCACCACCAGACTTTCTGTTTGAGTCTGGTAGACACCTACTTGCCCCAGGATATTTTATAAAATTATAAGTATTTCCCTAACAAGAGGCTCCACAAGGAATTCATTTAGACTTTTAAATGCTGTGTTGATGGCAAAGATAAGAGCCAAGTCACTTCTGCTGCCAGTTCACCTTGTAGAAGTTGAAATCACAGAGGCACTTACAACATGAAGCCCTTCACAAGAGAAGAGCCACTGCTAACAACCAACACGTACCAAGGATTATTGCAGCCTTGAGATCTTTTTCTTGAACACCCTCCCTGGGCCATACCAAAAACCCAAGGCCTGTATTAACAGAAGCATTTTCCACATCATCCCAATTTGTTTCTCTGTTAACAGGATGAAGCACTGACCTTGTGGTTAGAGGAATGGTTTTATTTACACTCAACTATGGGAATCCAAGGCAGGAAAGAAAAGCAAGAGCATGAACCATGGAGGAACACTGCTTGTAGGGTTGCTTCTCTGGCTTGCTCAGCCACCTTCCTAATACAGCCTAGCCCCACAGGCCTAGGGATGGCACCACCCACATTGGGATGTGCCCACCTGAATCAATTAGCAATCAAGAAAATTCCTGCCAGGACTCAGGAGGTGGAGCAGGGAATTATCTGTGAGTTTGAGGCCAGTCTGGTCTACAGAGTGAGTTCCAGGACAGCTAGAGCTACAAAGAGAAACCCTGTCTCAAAAAAAGAAAAAGAAAGGAAGGAAGGAGGGAGATAGAGAGAGAGAGAGAGAGAGAGAGAGAGAGAGAAAGAAAGAAAGAAAGAAAGACAAAGAGAACAAAAGAGAGGAAGGAAGAAGGAAGGAAGGAAGGAAGGAAGGAAGGAAGGAAGGAAGGAAGGAA